TCGCTCTTTCAAATTCAGTTCTGAAGAAACCGCTTTGCCTGCTGATTTGCAGGAAATTAAGCTTAAGTCTGTGACGAGCACTTTAAATTCCTGCAGCGAAGCAGAAGCTGCTTCCAGTGTAACTGAACTTCTATAGACTTTGCATGAAACTTCATTTTTCCTGATGAGCTGAATGGAACGATTGCTGTTTTTTATTGTTCTCTTTTTAGGTCTGCAATAAGGATCTTATTGTGATAGAGATTTTGTTGCTACTGCATATTATAATTATTATAGTTATACCTTGCAATATGCATAAGTGAGTTAGGGTGACAAGGTTAAAAGACTGGCCTGCGTTATTTTTACCAATATGATTTAATTTTGTTGCATTACTTGAAAATCTTCATTCACCAAACACAGAAACGCTCATCTCGAACTGTGAGTGATCAGGAGGAACTGATCAGAGCAAATGCAAGATTGTTTTGCACCAGAAGCCTCACGGCGCTGCAGCAAAGCAGAGCTTTTCTAGAATGCTTTTGTTTTTAAACCATTAGCGTCATGAGTGGCGAGTATTTTGCACGGATTTCTAATCTAAGAGACTAGAACTGGCAGACTTTTGCTCAATCAACAATTGGACGATTTATTTTTTTTATGTTATGTGTGAAATTTGGCAAGACTTACTACACAAAATCAACCTCCTTACTCTCAGTGTAGCACTTTGTTTGATTCATGCTATTTAAATAAGCATCTGATTTCTTATTTAAACTAGTTTGGCTCATTTAGGAGCCAGTGATGTTATATATCTTGCAACTTTGGCTAATACAATGTACTAGAAATGTGCTAGTGTGTTTCCTTTAGCCTACCGAGTATGGGTTAATAAAAGGCTAATAAAATAATAATTTTAAAAAATCAAATAATAATAATAATAATAATAATAATAATGATAATGGTAATATTTTTTATTTATATAGCACTTTTCATGCTGGTGGCAGCTCAGATTGCTTTACAGACAGGTTATAAAACACAGTTATACAAGAAATTATAAGTATTAATTTAGAATCAGAAGAAAATGACATCAAATTAAAAGATAAAAACCATGAGACGTAGAGTTTTAATGAAATGCTGAGTTAAAGAGGAACGTTTTTAGATGCTTCTTAAAAGTGATCACTGAGCTTACCTGTCTAATAAAAGGTGGAGTTGAGCTCCACAGTTTAGAAGCATCAGCAAGAAATCAGCAGAGTTTGGTTATCGGAAGTCAGTCATAAAAGCCAGTGACCAGTCCAGCCTCACTCAGGGACACAGGAGGGTGTTTTAAATGCATTTGGGTGGGTGCTGCTATTTTAAGCAGTGTATATGTGACTTGATACAGTCAAAGGCCATACTGATAATGCAGGAGCGTTTTGCATGCAGCGGTGGTGAAGCAGCATATTTATGGTCTTAAATGCACTCCTTTAGCTGTGCCCTCGTAAAAAAAAAGAAATATATTTGCACGACATGCCGAATTATGCAGCAAAGTTTTTGCAATCAGTTTAGCAAGGGCCAGTATCACGATAATGATTAAAAACCGATGTATTGTGCAGCCCTAATCCATATCTGATGCATGCATTTCCCTGTACACGCAATGTGTGCTCAGAGCTCATCGTATCCCGCAGCTCTGGACTGCATGCATGTGTGTGTCCCAGTGTGTTGGGGCCCCTCCTCACCCCTCTGACTGTGTGTATCCGGTGTTACAGATGCAAATTAATCAGACAGGAGGATTTATGAGGCCTTCCAATCAGCTTTATCTCTGCTTCCCTTCTGCTCCTGCTCTTTAGCTGCCTGTTCGTTTCAGGGCGTTCCTTTCAGCAGAAATAGTACTGCAGGCTTTCCTTCAGAATCTTTGATAACACAGTGCTGCGTTTCTCAGGAAGTGGAAAAACTGCATGTTTTGTGTTTGTTTGCCTGCCTGAACTTCTGAACCTCGCGTGTCATTGCACTTCAACACCGTTCATGATACTGAAAGTAACACTTCTTTTTGTGCATTACCTGAATTGCACTGTCACGGTTTGATATTTGTCCTCTCAATACTGATATACTGGCAGAGAGCAATATGCAAATAAGCCTAGCCAAAACAAAATATCACAAAATGCTTCGCTGTGTGCTCTGAGCATCCTCGTCTGTCTCTGCTTGCTGTCTTTGTCACTTAAACCTGGCTTTGCAAACCAGGATACTGTCTGTTTTTGTTCTTGTGCAAGGAATTCTGTTGAAGTAGTTGCAGTACTGGACTTGGTTGATCTGCTTGAGTTGGCGTGGGCATGTACGTTTGATTTTGAACGTTTTCAGGACAAAAACACCCTGATGAACCACTGCTCTGATTGGCTGTCCTGTTTTATGCCCCATTCAAAATGTAGTATGGTCTAAAACACTCTTTATAACTTCAGTGTGAATGGGAGGGGCCAAACAACTGTAGGCTAAACAGGCAGATATAACATGATGGGTTTGTGAAATTCAAAAAGGGTTGTTTCTGCAGCTTAGTTTCCATATATGGACTGTATGCATTGGGGAGCAAACTGTATGTTTTGAAACTTGTAAATTGTTTATATACTACAAACTCATTTTTGAAAAAGTGAGAAAAACTTAAAGGCTTCAAGTTAGGGTGATGTTTAAGGTTAAAAATGTGTGACGTGGTAGGTGGGACTAGAGATGCACCGATACCACTTTTTCCCTTCCGCTACTGATACCTGATCCTATAGTATTGGCCGATACCGATACTAACTCACCTATAAGTCCTGATATTTATACAATTAAATTTTTTAAATATTTTATTTTGGCAAAATCTTTGTTCTGCATCACAAATAAAACACACTCAGCTTGGCTGGACAACATTTACTTGTTGGATTATATTTATTACATGCTTAAGAAAATTTGCTTTTGTTTATTTACTGTATATATTTAGTATTTAGTATTATATAATTGGGAATAAGTTCCGTATATATCACTGTCGTTCACGCTGTCAGTATCAGCGACTTTCAGTGTTTTATTTTTCAGTGGCTTGTTTGAAGCGACAGGCTGCAAGGCCTCGCTGATGAGTGATACAGCGGACCAATGGAGGCTAGTGGACTCACAGGCCCGGCTATTGGGCTGCTATGCTAAAGGTTAAATCCAGACTAAAGGCTATGATTACGCCAAGAGTCTGGTGGTTTCTTCTACTCTCTCAGTAACAAAAACTCCCATTACAGATTCTGCCGTGAGTGTTTTTTTTACTGCTGTTTGTCATCTCACATTGCCAGTGTTGTTAAGTTCTGTCTACTGGCTAAGTGCCAGTATCTGTGCTGATACCGACACAGAATCTGTATCGGTGCAACTCTAGGTTGGACGTTTTGTTGATTTATAGTTCACATTTGACATATACATGACCCAGTGTCCTGAAAATATATTAAAACAAACCCCTGTGTGTATCCTGTGCTCAACATGAGTGGGCAGGTTTGTATGTAACTGAGGTTTACGGGAAGACGCACAGCAAGCACGGGTAGTAGCTGCAGGGAGCAGCTTGGCTTCCATTCAGACCCACCCAGGCTGCTCCGGACCACTCTCTCTATTCCTATTCACACGCACCTAAACAACCCCCCCCCCTTTCCCCAAGTGTGGTTAGTCAGTCATGACATGTTTGGTGTTTAAAGCTTGATGTTTTATTTTTACACTGGAGCTACAAGGCTAATGTAGCTAATAAGTAATGGAAGCTTATAGACACCAGTTGGCATTGTGCAAACTGCAGGCCTAAATCATCGCACACTTTACTTAAACCACCTCAGAAACGCTGATGCACTACTAAATATAAAAATGGACAAAAGTATGGACAGAATTCAGGCTTCAGTGTAGCTGCTACAACTGTTTTTAGATATGCAATGTACTTATGTCCATATTTACTGATAAATGTTTGTCATCCCTCTACTGCAGTGTTGCCATATGGCAACGATTACCTTAATTTTACTAAAAAGCAGTGATATAAAATCTGTGTTTTCTTATTTAATTGTGGGAAAAGGGTCTTTTACTTTGAAAGGACAAATACTTCATGACATCACATGACCAGGAATTTTTATTATGACGATGTTATTACCATACATTCCAAATACCAATTGAAATTGTATTCATTTCCAATATTTGTAAATATTGGGTCATACATTTCACTGCAAGTATAAGTTGGATTTGTTTGTTCTTGTTTTTAATAAAAGGATAAAAGGATGTTTTTAGAGAAAAATTACATTTTATGGTGTTTTTTTTTTGATTTTATGGTGCTATGGTACAATTGCGCAAAGCTGCCAAATGGCAACAGTTTACCAAGTTACCCACTAAATTTTTGGGAAGAAAATTTTTTTTTTTTTCAAAAATTTCCATTATTTAAGCAATTTCAAATAACAAAAACACATTAAAACTATTTATCATGTCTAAATAATAATTCATGAAACCACATAAGTGAGTCACAAGGTTTGAGGTAAGTGGGTCATGATTAAGGTGTGCAGTTTGAATGGTGCTAACATTGGTGGGGTATCAGCTTTCAATACTTGTTAGCAACATTAGCCTCATAGCTCCGTTGTAAAACTGACCACCAAGCGTCTTGGCTGATGGACTACGTTTAAGCTGAGGGGTAAATTGCATTGTTTGCCTAACTATCTCTTGAAGGCAGAAAGGAGACAGTAGGCCAGTCAGAAACCCCCCTGCTGGGCCCATGCTGACGCACGATGCATCCCCACCCACAGTTGTGGAAAGAAGGGGGCCCCCAGCCTCTGTAGAAGTCATGCCCCTTGTGTATGTCTGGGTGTGGGTGTGTGAGTAAGCGATTGGTGTGTGTTTTATAGAGTGGACTACAATGCGGTGCTTCCTGTTTCACACGTTTCTGCAATATTTTTACATGATTTCAGTGTTTCCAGATGTGCTCAATATCAGACATGCTGATCATTTCCTACACCACTCATTTTGAACCATCTATGAAGGCTTCTGTAGTGATGTTAATGGCTTTAACAAGGTTTTGTCTTTTTGCATCGCAGGTTTGTGAAGATCGCTGCCAAGAATGTCGTCGAAGAAGCAGAGTTCAAATAACATAGCGCAGGCGCGGAGAATCGTACAGCAGCTACGGATAGAGGCCAACATTGAGAGGATAAAGGTAAAGACTGGATCTTCTTTACCTCTGAGTGTTAAAGTTAAATGCACTTACAGATGTGCACTTACAGATGTGCTTTCATGATGAGAACGTCTCGGGAAACTGTGGGAAATTTTGGGCTGGGAGCGTGAAATTTCTCAAAAGGGCTTGAGTAGGTGGGACAATGGTGAGATCATCCGCATCATCCAATGGACGACAAGCCTGTCGTTAGCCCACGGATGTAATGTAAGTTAGCGTGTTGTAAATAGGGATGTGCATGAGTACTGGAGTACTCTGTTTACCGTTTGAGGTGCCAGTATTTAAAACGTTAAGAATACTTTTTGGATATTTGCACACGTGATTAAAAAACAGGCTAAAAGCGATTGGCCCTTTTCACTTTTCCCCATTTTTTTTCTGCTGGAAGTTCTCGGTGCAGCGTAACGCTGCTTCCGCTAAAGCAATCACAATAGCAGCGATGACGAGTTGAGCGTGTACAGCTCACTCAAGCAGCCTCATCTCAGTTTCAGTGGTTTGTCAGCTGACGATGAGCAGAGGAAAACGAGTTTGTGTGATTCATCAAGAAATTAACTTTGTCATACGGAGTAAAAGAACATCTGTGTCTGCAATTCAGCGCTGCTGACTAACAAGTTGACATTACACCGAATGCAGTTCAGGCTTTAAAGTTGCAGCTGCAGCCGCTTTCAGAGGAGCAGTTTTCATTTTCTCCCTCAAAAATGATCAGCGACTGAGAGTAGATTCACTGGTGCTGGTGGTTCCACCTTAAATGGTGCCTGAGCCACCAGAATGTAACTGCTGTACCATTTAAGGTGGAACGGAAAAATTCAAACGAGAAGCGACTTCAGCCTCGCAACTTTTTGGTGTTTGACAGTCTCTCGTTGCAGATTAAACGTATCAGGAAACCAGCTGAGTGCTTATAAATGCAGATAAAAAACATCTACAGTGGCACTACGAACCCTGATGACCCGGCGCGCCCCACATTGTGTGTTTGGTTCTCCAACAGTTCTGGACTCCAATATTGGCAACGATGACAAAGATAAAGTGAGACACCTTTCTGTGGTGGCTGAAGTGATACGAACGCCTGTATTTCTGAGGTTAATAACCGTCCATCAGGCAATAGTGGAACTGAGTTTTACTCAGCACTTACGCACTTCTGTTTCTGGTGAAAAGGGTCTACTGACGGCACGGATGATCTGGTAGAGTGAGAGTGGAAATGCGTCACTCTTTGGCCCTCCGATCGAGCTCTGATGTGATCAGAGGCCCACTGACATTTTCAAACATGTTAGACTCAAAATGTTCACGAGTGCTGTAGTGTGAGATGGTTAGCGGTGTAATTGAATCAGTGGTTCAGGCACCTAACCAATCAGAGCGAGGTGAGAAAGGACAAAGGTGAAGAGATGTGCATGCACTCTGCAGTGTGAGCTGCACTCTGGAGACCCAGGAGCTGCTTGTTGAGTTCAGGCAAATAATCAGTCACTTTACGATTTCAAATCAACAGCCAGTTTATAGTAAAATAGCTCTCCAGCTCTGACTGTGAAATCTGCTTTTCATCCCTAAATTCATGTGATGCTGGCTGTCGAAATCTGTTAGTATTGTAAATGTTGTGTTGTGTACGTCCAGCTTTAACTAGACTAGCTACTCTAGCTGATGTTATGTAGGTCCAGAAATAATGAAAATATATTGCTCTGACAAATAACATGTTTGCACTGAGAAGAAAATACCTTGTACAGAAGACAAGAAGTCCTTATCATCCAATGTGACACTGGTTAGCTCTGTTAGCTCATTAGCTCATCTCAGGTAGTGTTCATTACGTATCCAACATGAAAACCTAGCAATGTCCTTCTGCTGTTTTTGAGTAATAAAACGTGTTTTCAAATGTATTCCAATGCATTCTGCAGTATTTTTATTTATTTATTTATTTATTTTTTTATTTTTGCTGTCTCTTCAATTTAAATCTTATAGAACTTGAATATCAAAATTAGGTGGAATGCAAGTCCCTGTTTGGGGACCATACAAGCCAAAACATCTCTTTACTATCTTCAAACAAAGTATTTTAAATGGTTTCATCTGATTTGTGTGTTCTTTACAGTCTGTTTGTGGGATGTAGTATCTTTAAGGTGCGTATTTCTGTGTGTTAGGGCTGCATGATATGGACAAAAAAACATATTGCGATTATAGTGCTATTTATTGTGATTAAATAGGAGAATTTGAATGTGCCTTGCAGTTTACAGGGTGATTCAAAGATTCATCTGATTTCAAAATGATTTATTTTACTTGTAAATCATTACAGATCAATGCAGTAAACTGTAAATGGTTTAAATGAGCATAAAGTTTATTATGTAATTGTACAAGGTCTCAGTATGAACCTCCTCCAGCTGTACAGACAACATCAACACCATAGTCAAACTCACCCCATACTGGATTGAGCATGTCGGGTGTCGCTGCACTCACAGCTCTTTCAGTGCAATTTCGGAGATCATCCAGTGTTGTGGAACCAACGCCGAACGCTCTGAGCTGTTGGAGCTTCACTGATGATAAAAATCACGCTGCACAGTTATGACGGATTCACTCCTATTGAAGTGGAGAGTGCAGAACGCTTTCTGCTCAGGGGTCTCATCTCCTCTCAGACTGAAGGGGGAGCCATCTTCCACTGACAGTCAGAAACTCTATGATCCCCTCTTTCAATTGGATTTTGATTGGTTCCTAGGCGCCTCACTGTTGTAGAAATATGGTGCTTTGAAAGCGGATGGATCTTTTTGAATCACCCTGTGTTGTAACCATACTGGTGACTGGATCAAATGACATGATTAAAAACTGGCTGTGTTGTTTTGACCCAATTTATTTACATATGTTGGATGACGTGAATGCCTTGATTCATCAAAACACCCACAGATACACTCATCCGGGACATGTGATAACTGGATCACTGTGCACAATAAAACAATTAGAGATTTGTTTGAGGGCTTACTCACGGATTACAGGCCTTGGCGACATCACTATTTCAAAAGCCATTATTATGATAACAATAACCACTGTGCAGCCATATGGTAGTGCATGCAAGTTATGTTGTCTGAGTTATACTTGAATAACTTTGACTGTTATAGATTATTGCGGTCAGTAATTATCTCTCTCCTTCTCTCCTTCTCTCTCTCCTTCTCTCTCTCTCTCTCTCTCTCTCTCTCTCTCTCTCTGTCTAACTATCTGCAGGTTTCTAAAGCCTCTGCGGACCTCATGCATTACTGTGGCGAGCATGCTAAATACGATCCACTCCTGATGGGGATTCCAGCCTCAGAAAACCCGTTTAAGGACAAGAAGCCCTGCACTATATTGTAGTGGGACGCCCCCAGACATGAGCTCCTTAATGCCTCCTTTTTTATAGAGAGAATATTTTACCTTAAAGCATTCATACACTAGTCGCCTTAAAAAAAAAAAAGTCAGCTAACCCCCATCTTCACTGTCCCTTTAATTCTCCTGAAGCAGAGCTCTTCGCCTGAAACACATTCCCTTGTTATTTCGTTCGTCAAAAACGAGACCAAAAAGCTCTCAAGATTTGCAATGCAGAGACGAAATGAACAGTACATGTATATTTTTTTCTTTTTTCCCCCCTTTAATTCAGCGATTGTGTTATCTGATGTGGTCTAGACCTGCCTCATCAGCAAATAAAGGCTGCGGCCTCAGTAGGGAAGATCCCAGACAGGTGCTGGTCTCGTCAAGCCCCAGTTGCTCCCTTTGATCATTGCACTCTCCTAATGTCTTTTAAACTCTGCTCTGATTGGTGGCTGTAGATAAGCTCAACAGTAGCGCTTTGACCCTGTGTGCTGACACTGTTAACTGGATCTCTAGATTCAGTCAGCCGTGTTGAGGGAAGAGGTGAGAGAGTGAATCTCAAATGGCTCCCTACTGTCTGTATAGTGCACTACACGGTGCTTTTGCTGCATGATATAGATAAAATACCATGTTGTGATTATAATGCGACGTATTGCGGTTGTGATACGTCTTGCAAGATATAAAAACTGCATTGAAGTCAATCGAATCAAACTGAATCAATAGTGTGGCAAAAATTGATCTGCACTGTTTAAACCAAAATACCCAATACCCACCGAAACTCTTCTGGAACTGTGACTGGTTAGAGATAATATCATTGTGATTGGTCAGAGGGCTCATTTGCAATTTGCAGCCTTCTGCAATACCAGTATTGCAAACTATTGACTATTAAAGCTGGGCCATCAGTTTCGGGCCATAAATGTCAAAACTTGAGGGACATAAAAACTCAATTATGCTCATTTCTGCTAACACCTCTATGGGATTCTAGTAGTTTGTTAGTGTTAAACTAATGGCGCTAAGCTTATGCTAATGGCATTGGCATTTTTTGGCAGATTTGGAGCTTCATGTTACTCCATGTCTTACTTAAAGCTTCTGACAGACATATTAGAATCTATTTTAGCAGTTGTAGAAGTGACTCGAGAGAGTTCTAATATGAAGTGTTTTCCATTAGTGGCGACTCATTGATCAGGCAAACGCTTGTATTTACATATCCTGGACTTCCAGAAGGCCTAGAGCGACGTTTTTTCTCACAGTATTGGAAATCAAAACGTGGTTGATTCTGCTGTCAGCTTCTGAAATCCTAACCAGTAGGAGAGCTCACTTAGCTACATCTACCTAGATACCATAGAGAAAAACCATCCCACTTGTCATTTTAAGAATTGAACCCTATTGTTTCCATCGGAAATTAGCAATGAAATGAGTAGTACTGCAATTCCTGCAGAGTTTAAATGGGAGTATTTTTGAATATTGATAGCAATTATGATTCAAACCAATTCCTGACACTATAATCACAATACTGTCACGTCGTCACGACATTTAAAACTGATGACTGTGTCCGTGTAATTGCAGTGAAACAGGAGCAGCATGTTCAGCGTCATACATGCTGACAATTAACATGCTTGTTTGGGTTAAGTTGATGTCCAGCTCTGGCGTGCAAACAGTGTAATTGCATTAGATGGCATAATAGAAGCAGCTGAGTTCACCTCCGTATCATCTCCACAGTGCACAGCAATGCATTGTCACAATATGTTGTTACATACCTGCTAACAAACGCCACACTGTGCATCCCTACATAGCCTGAAACAATAGTCTTTTACACCCATGTAGTGCACTATGTGTCCAGTAGGGAGCCGTTTGGTATGCAGCCAGATTCTGAAAGGTCCTCTTGCTCAGTGAAGGGGAAGCAGGTGTCGTTCGGTTGCGTCACTCTGACGTATTTTGCCCTCATCAGCACCAGCGCTCCCTCCTTAACTCACCGTGGCCGAACAATGGAGGGTTTTGCTCGGGTCAGCGAAAGGTCACCTCCTCTGTCAGAGCTTTAAAACAGCCATGCCTTTTCTTTCCCTTTCTTTTTTTCTGTCCCCTCCTCTTTAGAAAGCTACGTTACACTAGCGCTGAATCAGAGAGCATGCCAAACTCCACGCATCACCGTTTCCGTAGCGGTGTGAGAGAGAACGTTTTTTGTGGCACGTCAAGTTTTTCCCACGTGTAAAGCTCCGACCTTACTTTGAGTCTGGGTTTGATTCAGTGCAGCATGGAATCTCAAACTGCACAATGATTCGACTCAGTTATTTTCATATGATTATTATTATTTCTTCAGGTATGTAACGATACAGTTATTATTCAATTCTGAGATCAAGATATGATTCGGTTTAGCTCAGAACTGACATTGTATTTCAAAATAAAAGACCCCAAAGTAGCACAAACTTGTGCAAAATAGTGATCTGGCTAAAGTGCGAACTATAAGTAATACAAAAATAAACCAGATATTATGTTTTGATCATTGAATTGCGATATTTCATAAGAGACTCTCAGAGAGCGACATTCATAACACTATTATAATAATAATTTTCATACTGTAACATTCTTTTTTTATCCTTTAATACCGTATTGAAACTTTACACTCTTCATTTTTTGTTCAGAAATAGCCTGCAAAGTTTATGTTGGCAAAAAATGAGTGAATATTGTTAATATTGAGTTGACGGCGGTTGAATCACCCGCCACTTTAAGATCGAAGCGTTTGCACCCCTAATGAGCTCAGCGAGTTTGTTTTTTATTGGGAGTGAGACATAAAATCGCTCTCCTTTGCTGTTTTCACAGCATGCATTTCCCGTCAGCAACACTAACAGGACCTACCTGGATTATATTTCGTGAGCCTTGCCAAAAAAACCTTTTTGATAAACAGAAAAATATGACCCAGATTCCCCTGCCTGCATAGTTTGCCTTTGCCTTAGAGAATAAACCTTGGACTTCTTGTTCTTTCCCTGTTTATGGTAGATACAGTAGCAATACAATTCATTGCAGATCATGGTACAAGTAATATATTGTAACCCTTTAATGATTATATGCCTTATTTTCATGTAAAAGATGCTTTTGATGATTTGTAATGATAATGATAGGATCTTCTTCTGAATGATAAGAAACAGTTTGTAACGTATTTGTGCCATGCCATCGTGTCTGACCTGACCAGCAATAGTTAAGTCCTGTAGGGTCACTGCCAGTGCTTCTGCGCAGCTCCTCTTCTAACTCCAAGCAGATGAGTGACTTACCAAACTATAGCGTCTCTTTGAATTATTGTGGTGACTGTTATCGTGAATTTTGACATTCCATGTTTACAAAAACTGCTGTTTTTTTATGCTCTTCATAATGCCATGCAGTTTTTTATGTGCATGTGTGTATGTGTACGTGAGTGACTTTTTAAATTTTGTTATTGTTATGTTTTTTTAAAGAGCGCTGAACGTTAGGGGTGCACCGATCATGAGTTTTTTATTTTCGGTTTTGATTTCTCCACCACAGGGCTGGAAAAACTGAGGGCCAGAGTCCAGCACAGTTTGCTGAGTTTCCTGCTGTAGCACAGCAACTAAACCTGGTAGAGTGGGATCACCTGAGCAGGAAAGTCCCCAAATTGTGCAGGAATCCAGCCCTCCAGAGCCAGAAATGGCTACCCCTGCTTTACAGCCAAACTGCCAATTGGCCAGTTTTTATTGGCCTATTAGTTTAAACAAAGACAGTAACATGTCCAGGGACGCCCAAACGTTTTCACACAACTACATGCAAAAGCATGCATGCACAGCATTTAAATGCAGCATGTATGTATATGGCTGACACATAATTACAGGTGGTGAAAATAATCAGTTATGCGTTGTGATTCTTTTAAAATCGATTCACAAATCATAATCAGATTTTTGATAAATGCTGAAAACCTCATTAAACACTAACTAAAGTGAGCAACAGCATAGCAGCATTATTTGGATAAAAACTCTTCATATAAATTACAGGTTTCTACATTAACAGCTGCAATAAATGCGCATGTTTACTATTATAATGACTGGAATACCCGATGCTTTACTTTGTTTGGACATCTCTTTTAGTATTTCATCAGCTCTCAACATTTCTGATGAAAAATAAACAATATTTTAGTTTATATCTATTAGATGGTGTAACTAAGGCTACGTTCACATTACAAGCCTCGTTGCTCAAATCTGATTTTTTGCTCAAATCCGATCTGTCTGACGCAATGGTTCGCACTCGTTTAGGTAAGTGACTCAAATCTGTCATTAATGTGAACGAACCGGCGTCCTGAAATGACCCTCATGAGCTCATCCTACTCAGTAACGTCACGTGAATGAATCACATTCATCATCAGCACAAACTAACGAGCAGAACGAGCTTCGCTGAGAAGATAATTAACTCTGATCAGCTCTCAGCTTCATTATTAGAGCGAGACGAAGGAGAAAAAGGTGAGATGAGCTGCTTTTCCACCGTTTACAGGCTTTAACTTCTGTTCGGCGCTGCTGCCATGGTAACGCTGAATGATGGCACAGTGGAAAAGAGCACATGAATTCCGATCTGAGCGTCACATTAAGGTCACATGGCCACGAATCAGATACGTATCTGATCTAGGACCGCATGTGAAAGTGTCTCAGGTCGAATTTGAAAAGATCAGATCTGAGTCACATTAGGGCAAAAAATCAGATTTGTGCCACTTCAACCTGGTAATGTGAACGTAGCCTAAGCTAACATTAGCCTGCTTGTTAATGACAGGAAAAAAAAATATAATGTAGGCTGTAGAAATCAAGAACTGAGGATGCATCAAGATGCATGAGGAATTGTTATAATTGCATCTTGGCAACCTGAATAGAAATTGAATCAAATCGTGAGGTGCCCAGAGATTCCCACCCCAGGACTAAGTTGCACTGGTTTTTACTTAAATTTGTGTGTAAAGTCTTAACTAAATCCTTAATTAGCACTAGTTCGTTTCAGACAATCCTGTAATTAAACTCAGTTGAATAACCAATCCACAAGTAATGCCTTAACTAGTGACTACTATCTAATGCGTACGTCGCTTTAACATGACGATAATATGATCAGAACCACTCAGTGAACCTGATAACTTAGGAATGCGATGGA